TTAAAAGATAGGACAGAAAGTGACTTCTATACTTTTAAAATTTATGCAAAACTGAGGAGGTCTTTAGACTGAGCCAATATATTAAAAATTTGTTATCATCAATTAAAACACGCTCTCCCAAAGTTAATTGGTGACACAATCAATTCACAAAAGTTGAAGTTAATAAAAACAAATCAGAAAATAATACTCCTGAAGTGGGCAATAAAATCGAAAACTTGGTGATCAGATAAGAGAAAGAAAAATCTAGAATGAGGAAAACAATTGGAAATTGCTCAGAAAAAGAAAAAAGGGGAAATTCTTTGAGAAAGTTGAGAGACCAATGAGGGATTAGATAACTGAATTAAAAAACTAGAGGGAAAAAAGTTAGATATAATATAATGATAAGAGAATTAGGAAATTTATCCTATGAGGTTCAAGGCAGTCAAGAACAAAACCAAGCTAATCGACTTTCTCATTGTGCTCAGTGTAACAAAAAAACTGTTTCAACGACTGATATAAAAAATGTTTTTTTTTCCTTTAAAGATGAACTAAAAGGATTTAATAAATTAAAAGGAGAGATTGATGAAAAAGAGAGAGTTATTTGTCACAACATTTTAAGGTATATTTTTAATAGCTATAATGAAATTAGCGATGAATTATGACATTCTTAAAAAAAAATAATTAATTATCTTGAAAAATGCCTATTTTCTGGGCAACAATCTTGTTTATCACTATTGCTGCTGCTAATATTATTTGTTCTTGTTTAAAAGGAAAAAAAATAGATTTTGTCTGAGACGTACTAAATAATTGTCAACCCATGATGGAAAGAAATGGGTATGATTGTCCTAATTTTAAATTATTTAGTGATATCATCAGGAAATTAATTTAGCGTAAACTTGCATAAATCTTACGATGCCAACGTAATATTGTGTAAATCTTACAGTGCCGACGTAAGTTTTACACTTTTTTATTATTAAACTTACAATTGACATGTGTAAAATTTTTTTATATTTTCCAGATGATATCACAGTTTTCCCACCGGATAGAATGTATAAAGCTGGTATTAAGAGGAATAGTTACAATGAATAGGGCACTGTGTGCATAATTCCTCCTATATATAAAATAAAGATAAAAAAATTTTAATATTTTATCTTAAAATATAATTATATTTTATATTATATTTGTATACCTTGGGTGGCAGAGATTGTGGAGATTCTGGTAGTGATGATACTTCTGATAACGATGATGATGTTGTTGATGGTGATGATCTCTATAAATATAAGTAAAAAAAAAAAATTAAATAAAATGTTATTGTCTACTATTAATGTTTCAGTTTATAATTACTATTACACTGTTTTTTTGACAATGTTTTTTCATAATGGCCTTCCAATGTTGTAATTTATTTGTTGTAGCCTTCTAAGGTTATAACTCATCTGTAAGATTTTTAAAAACATAAATGCATAAGTTGACAATAAATTAACATATTAATTATCAACAAAAAAAAAATAAAATGTAAAGCATAAAATAATAAATATAAAAACATAAGTACTGTAATTGTTGACTTGTTTGAGTATATTCTCTATTACTACTAATGATAGTACATCATGATAAATGTATCAATGAAAATATAACAAATTATAAAAAATAAAACATAAATACTTGATACCAATCAATTATTGCTTTGGGAGGTTGTTGTTGAGAAGAAAAATTGTTTTTGGTAATACAAGATCCAACCCAAGATGTTTGAAATAATTTGCATATTACTTACAGTTCACTCTCTATATAACAGACCATTTAGGAAAAAATATTCACTATAGCAAGTCCATTATAACAAAGTTCATTATAATTTGAAGATCAATTATTGTTTATCAAATATACAGAAGCTTTCTGTATATTTTGTTCTGTATATATTGAAGATCAATTATTTATTTATCAAATATGCAGGACCTTTCTGTATATTTTGTTCTGTATATTGAAGATCAATTATTTATTTATCAAATATGCAGGACCTTTCTGTATATTTTGTTCTATATATATTGAAGATCAATTATTTATTTATCAAATATGCAGGACCTTTCTGTATATTTTGTTCTGTATATATTGAAGATCAATTATTATTTATCAAATACACAGAACCTTTCTGTATATTTTGTTCTGTATATATTGAAGATCTATTTTTATTTGGTGCATGGTGCAACAAAACCAGACAAAATGAATATTGGTATTACCAAGGATTTCAGGGATCAAAATTTAGTAATGTGATTATCAAAATCTTCCATTTGTTATCCTCTTAATATTAGGTGATATATAGAATTACTCCTATATAAAAATAATATGAAACTCATTTACATTAGATCTACCATGGAACCCAAAAATTACAGCACCATTAGAAGTATTCTAAAGAAAGAACAAGGTGAAAAAATTGCTCCTTATATTTTCAAAATAAATGATACTCAGACATTGGAAACTTATCTAAGAAAAGAAAAGATTACTTATGAAATTTACCAAGAGGAAAGAGTTTTCAAAAGAG